TCAACATTCCTACCCTAGATTTGAATTACCCTTTGATATCCTGGAAGATGTCTCTTGTTTTTGCTTTTTTGTTGCTCGCTTCTATTTCTTTGTACTGATCATTATCATAGAATAGTGGAGTTGGAAGGGGTCAATGAGGTCCAACTCCCTGTTAGTGCAGGACTCCAAGGTAAAACTTCTCTCTCAGATGGCTAGTGTAGAAGCCCACAACTTCCTTAGGTAATTGGTTCCAATGTTGCACTGCTCTAACAGTGAGAAAGTTCTTCCTGATGTTCAACTGGAAGCTGGCTTTTTGTAACTTTGAGCCCATTATTCCATGTCCTGCACTCTGGGATGATTGAAAAGAGATCCTGGCCTTCCTCTTTGAGACAACCTTTCAAGTACTTTCAAAAGTTCTATCATATTTCCCCCTCAGTCTTCTCTTCTCAAGGCCTAACATCCTCAGTTCTTTCAATCTCTCCTCATAAGGCTTTGTTTCTGGTCCCTGGATCATCCATGTTGTCACCCTCTGAACCCCTTCCCTTGCCTGCATCTTTCTTAAACAGTGGTCCCAGACATGTTGGTCAGACACAATATTCCAGATGTGGCCTAAGTAGTGCTGAGTAGAGGCAATTTGTGATTTGGAAGAGATACTTCTATTACTGAAGCCTAAAATAGCATTTGCCTTTTTTGCAGCCACATCACACTCTCAACACATATTCAGCTTGTGATCTACAACAATTCCAAGATCTTTCTCACTTGCAGTATTGTTGAACCAAGAATTCCCCATCTTGTAATGATCCATTTGTTTCTTTTTTCTAGGTGCAGAACTTGGCATTTGTCCCTATTTAATTTCATTCTGTTGTTTTCATCCCAGTGTTCCAACCAATGAAGATTACCTTGAATCTTCTTCCTGTCTTCCAGGAAGATGTCCCACCCAATTTTGTGTCATCTGTAAATAAGATCATTATTTCTTGCACTTCCTCATCCAAACAATTAATAAAAACGTTGAAGAGCATTGGGTCCAGGACTGAACCCTGTGGTACCCTACTTGTTACCTCTACCCAGTTTGAGAAGATGTCACTGATGAGTGCTCTTTGATTGATGTGATTCTGTAGCCAACTGTGGATCCACCTGATCCTGCTTCCATCTTGCCTACTTTTACCTAGTTTGCTAATGAGGATATCATGGGACACTTTGTCAAAAGTTTGCTGAAGATAGATTGTGTCTACAGCATTCCCACAGCCCATCAGGGAGGTTACCCAAACAAAAAATGAAATCAGATTAGTCTGGAAGGATTTGTTCTTGAGAAATCCATGTTGGCTTCTAGTATTCTCTGCACTGTTTTCAAGGGGTTTACAGACTGACTGCTTTATAATCTGCTCCAGAGTTTCTCAGGCATTGATGTTAGACTGTCTGGTCTGTAGTTCCCAGGTCTGCATGCAACTCTGTTGTTTTGTAGTGCATACTTTGTCTGGTCTACTGTTTATCTGAGTAGAACTGAGGCCTTGTTTTTTTTGCTGCCAGAGTTCTGTCTTGTAGTGTGAGTGACATTCCCAAGTGAAGGGGACACACAAATATTGTTAGCTGGGGACTGTATCAGGTAATATGAATTCTGATTGGCTGGGAATTCCAGCTCAATGGAAAAAAGCAGCTGGGATATGACAGTTGACAGTTTGCAAAGAGTCAGAGAGAGTCTGTGGAGAAGGATAGAGTAGTTATGATGGTTTGTATTTGGTGTTTTTGATGTTCTAATGAGAGATCGAACAGCTAAGATTTGAATATTATGCTATAATTCCTCTGTGGGATGACTGTTGATCAGAAATAAGGAGCAAATGGCTGTGTTATACTGAGAAATTGTCCTAAGATTATGCCAGAAGAAGGTTACACAAGCAGGCAGTAAAAAGCCAGATAAATTATCCAAGCAGCCGCTAATACAATAGGAGTATCTTGGGTGTCAGAGAGAGACTGTACCTTAAAGCTGAACCTGGTTGCAAGTGTATTTGGCCCCAGTGGCATTTAGAGAATTTGGCATGAAGTAAAAGGAGACCTTCAACCTGTCTCTACTGTTGGAGTCTGTCTCATGTCGAACCTCTTCTGGCAGCCATTAGGAATAGTAATTAAAGAAGTAATATAGAATTGGTTGCAGCAGAAAAGAGTCAGCTTGTAGAACTCTGGGTTATAGTGGCAAAGACATTCCTTCCACCCAGAAATAGAATATTGTGCTCTAAATAAGAAACTAAATTGGTAGGACTGCCCAGTGAAGCTACAGTTTCTCAATAGGTGTTAGCAGTAGTGAGCAGAGGGAATCTGCCATATGTAGGCATATGAGTCACACTGCTCTTTTGCATGTTAGTTAGAAGTCATTGATGACTATCCGGCTGCAAGCTACACTTTAAAGCAGGATCTCTGCTGTTTGATGCAGCAATGTGATTCGTTTTTGTATTTTGTGCTATATGTTTAGCCAGCTCAAATAACAACGTGGGTTGAAATGAACAAAGCCTGTATCACTCTTCACAAATAAAACTCGAACAGTAGGAGGCTTCTGAGCTATTTAAAGAATTTTATGGACTTTGAAAACCATTCATTGTGGATCATGCTGTTTGTCTCCTCAAACACTCTGAAATTATTTTTTAAAGGTTGACAAGTTCAAAAATTCTATCACCAAACCCCAGTTTTAGTGTTTCCCTGATATTGTGTATAGATGTGAATGAAAGATTCCTAGCTAAGACCACACCATACAAACAATTTTAATACACAAAAGAAAATGGACATTCTTCCCTGGTCTACTGCTTTTGCAGTCCTTGAAAACTTGGAGAAGAAGATAAACAATTGCTAGGCTGCGCTCTTTTTAAACTGAAATTACTTTGTGCTACTGTTATTCAGAGCAAACAAAGAAATTTCACCTTCTAAATTCTAAAGAAAGGTGAATGAAAGAAACAAATTTTCAGGAAAATAAGTTAAAAAACCCCCCCCTTTGTTTTAATTTCCCATGCAAACAAAGTGATGCTCAAGATATTGCAACAAGATATTTATCCTATATGGAACCAGAAATGCACAACATGCAAGGTGGTTAAAAAAGACACTCAAGACCATATTGCAAATTTATGTTGGCTATTGAATAATACCAAATAATTTAAAGAGAATATTCATGCTATGTACACTACAGCAAAGCCATCTGTTCTGTGGACCACAAGAAACTATAGATGGTCCTAAAAGAAAATGGAATTCTTCAGCATACAATAACCCTTATGGGTATCCTGCATTATGGAGAAAAAACTGTTAGGACAGAATATGGAGAAACAGAATGAGTTCCTATGGGTGAAGGAGTCTAACAAAGGTGCATTTTCTATCCCTATCTGCTCAATCTGTATGCAGGATATATAATAAAGTTCAATTAGGATCAGAGGAAGAAGTAGTGAAAATTGGGAGAAGATGCATCAATAATATAAATAAACAAATGATAGCTTACTAACAGAAAGCAGCAATGAAGTGAAACATCTTCTTATGAAAGCAAAAGAAGAAAGTCCAAAAGCAGGACTGTAGGTGAATGCTTAGAAAACAAAAAGGACACCTAGAGAGGAAGACACAACTTCAAGATCAACAATGAATGAATGGATACAGTTTTGCATACCTTGGGTTAATAATCAGGGTAAAGGACACTGCAGCCAAGAAACTTGAGGAGGACTGAGACTTGACAGTGCAGCAATGAAGGAACTAGAAAAGATCATCAAGTGTAAAGATGTTTCACTCGAGACCAAGGGCAAGATCATCCATGCTATTGCAGACCTGATCACCATGCACGGATGTGAAAACTGGACAGAGAAGAAAACTTTCTGGAAGAAATCCATGTGTTCAAAACATCATGCTGGAGCAGAGCTTTGTGAATACCTGGGCATGACAGAAAGAGGACATGTGGGTCCTAGATCAAATCAAGTCAGGACTTTCTCCAGAAGCAAAAATAGCAAACTGAGATTGCCATGCAATGGAAGCATCACAAGAAGACAACTATGCTAGGGAAAGTTGAAGGTAGCAGAAGAAGAGAAAGAGCAGTTATGAGATGGATCGTTTCTCTCTAAAGGAAGTAATAGACCTGAGTTTATAACAGTCGAACAAGGCTGTCAAGGATAGGGCTTTCTGGGAGACATTCATTCATAGGATTGGCACTGGAGATGGCATATAACAACAAATCTGTTATGTTCTTCTGTATGACCAGCATCCTATGAATTGCTTATATGGTTTCATGTGGCTGTGATTTAGACATGTGACAGAAGGCTTTTGTTACTTATCACAAGACAGTAGGGTAACATCTGCTTTCCCTTTTCCTTTCGACTCTTTATAAAGAAGTATAGTGGCCCAAAGTAGTTTAGCATTTAACTTAAATTGCTGCCTCTTTGTCATATGTGAATGCCATGGAGATGGCTTTTTCTAGATGCTTTGAAAACTTGATTTTTTAAAAAAATGCACTTAAGCTGACAAAATCACTGAATGCTGGTTTTACATTGAACATACACACATACACAATGTGCATTGGAATAGCTATAATACTTAGAAATATGTCATATGCTAAATCTTCTTTTTTACTGCTTTTCCAATATGATATACATTTAAAAAACAACAACAATGACTCATGTCCCTATTAAAATAATGTAATGCAACCCTACCATAAGTAAATAACATTTTAAACAAGCACATTGTGTATCTGGAAATTAGAAACAAGGAAATTTCTCACAAAAATGTCAAAAGGCACATTTGTTCAGCTTATGCATTTCACACACTCACATAACTCAAAACTTTATTAGCAGAAGTGAAAAGTAAGCCAAATTGATGGTTGTCTAAGTTGTTTTCAATGGATGCTATTTACCAAGTGTCGCTGAAAAACGGACTTGTGCTATGAGATGAATGTAGGCTGAGAAGTAGGGCTACTCTGTTTAAGAGAAAGGAAAATGTTTTGTGCATACATTTCATAAGTGCGCATTTATTACTATATGTATCTTCCTTTTGTATTCTCTCTTTATCAGGCTTCTGAACAGCAATGGTGATAAAGTGTACCAAACTTTTATGTTCCTCCTACTTTTCTGCATGTGCATCATAGAAAGGAAGTTACATCTTCTTGGCACATAAAGCACCACCAGCTTAAGAAGCAGCTCTTTGAATAATGCATCATTTGCAAACAGAAGTGACATATATTCTGCATAACAATGTGCATTAACAGAGATAGCCCTTTTCAAATGGGACTGAAGATTATTTACACAAATTGGGGAGATACAACAATGAGATGCTTTTACATTATTTATATTACTTACAAATAGCTTAGACGTGATAAACTCTGCTGAAAAGTTCTGTGAATCATGGACCGAAGATGGTTTCTGAATCATGGTATTCTGTAACAATTCAGAGATTATTTCATTTTCTAAGAACTCATCTTTTAGAACTCCATGTCAAATGCAAGATGCATGACTTGCATCTATTTTGTGTTTGTTTTGGTGGATGTAAACTTGGTACAGTTCAACATCATTTTAAAATTACAACTGGATTGTATATCACAGTGATAAAAGTGTGTCATGCCTTTAAACCTTTTTTATCAACAGACTGCAGGAAGGCTTGTAAGAACCTGCTGATCTCCCTATCTTGGTTTCCTGTTAGTGTAGTATTTCTCCTTGCCATATCATGACCATGTGGCATTGGTCAAGTTCTTGACCTCTGGGCTAAGTAGATTCTTTTGTATTCTTACCTGAACTGGTAACATACTCTTTCCAAAAGATGGGGGGAAATGTTATTTTATGTTATTTGGTTTTGAAAAAGATTTACAAACATTCACAATATCCTCTGTATTTGACATGAAAAGAACTTGAGATTTTTAAAACATCAAATATGGGAGAGTTCAAATTGACAAATTACTCTGTCCAGCCCCAGAGTTTTAAGGGCACAATTCTTAAAATTCTGGATTTGAATCCCTCTGTATTCAGCCATGCATTTTCTGAATTAGGATAACCAACTCTTTGTTTTGGCAACATCTCTAGCATTTATATCACAGGTAGGTACAATAGGGTTCTAGCCATCTTATGAAAAACTTTACCTGTTGAGTTGGATTGGTGCAGATAGATGATAATTTTGTTACTGTTTGGTTTTAATAAGAATTTACCAAAATTTACATTGTTTATATTTAGAAAGGAAAGAACTCAAGATTTTTGAAATGTGATTAAGGGAGGAAGCAAAACAGACACATTCACTTATCCCTATTTCTCCCACCACCTTCATACTATTATCACAGTGGAACAATCACTGCATTTGTTCAGAAAGGCAATGTGGATTAGAACTTTCTCACTCCTCTCCTTATCTATTTCTACTATATGACTTTATGGTGCTGTCTTGCCTTTTATCTATTTTGTGTGACAGAACTACACATGATTTGCATGTCTCTCTTTTCTGTGCTTCTCGCAAGAAAATGGCAGCCCTTCATCCTATGTTCTGTTTCATCACAGTGACTGCATTTTGCTTTGGACTCTGTTTTGCTTCTTTGGAAAGTGCATTATGTGCTTGGTCAATGGAAGGAAGGAAAGAAGGAGGGCTGAAAATGGAGGGGCTGAATTTACCAAGCACATTCAACCTGCCAGCTCAGGACTTAGTCCAGGAATGGAAAACCTGGAAAAATGAGTTTAATTTCTATGTGGGCATTGCAATGCATTGCAATTCATTGTAAATGAAACTGTTTCTATATTTTGCTGGAGAAAAGGGGAGAGAAATAAATGAGATGTTGTATGCAAACATTCCCTAGGCACAGCATACTTTGGCTACAATAATGCATTGTTTTGATGCCCACTGCATTCTCAGAAAGAATTAAATAGTGGGAAAATGTAGCTTTTTTTTCTTTTGGCAGAAGCAAGCAGTAAGGAAAGGCATTGCAGACTACTGCACTCATTTACAGATGCTAGGAACCAGTTGCAATTTTGAATAAATCAAAGACTCAGTGATGAGATGGAAATGCTGTTAGTAGGCAGTTTCTTTGATTAGATGAAGGAAATTCAGCCTGTATGCTTCCAAGATGGACTTGCACTCTCCTCGAAGGAGCAGGTTCATAGGGGGAGTGCTCCGTGAGCCATCTTTGTCACTTGAGGCCAAGGTGACTTCAGTGGCTTGGAGTGCTTTCTTCCAGTTTTGGTAGCTATGCAGATAGCTACACTTCTGTCTGGATAAAGATAACTTGCACTCTGGCAGCCTCTAAAGTAGATTACCTCAATGCACTCTGCAAGGGGCTGCCCTTGAATACTCTTCAGAAGCTGTAGTGCAAAGTGTGACAGCCAGATCATCAACAGGGACCAGGCAGTCAGACCACAGAACACTCACTTGCACTGGCTGCCTATATGCTTCCAAGATGGATTCGATGTGCTGGTTTTGATCGATAAGGCCCTACAGGAGACCACATCTGACAGAGCACCTCTCTCAACAACAGTCTGCCTGGGCACTACAATCATGCTCCGAGACCTGCCTCTGTCACCTCCAAGGGAGGCTTGACTGGTAGCAAAAAGGAGAAGTGCCTTTTCAGGGATGGCTCCCAGTTATGAAACGACCTTCTCACTGAGGATAATCTGGTGGCCAGTTTACTATCCTTTTGGTGCCGGGTTAAGATTGAATGATAACTGTTTATGATGCTTTTAATATTGCTTGTATTTTATATTGTGTTTGTATGTGTTGTAGAAAATTGCTGCCCAGAGAGCTTCAGCTATTGCGAGGCACAGAAATAAATAAATAAATAAATAAATAAGTCTCTTAGTTATTTAAATAAATAAACCCAGTCTCTTACATCTTTAAACCCAGTCCCTTACATGCCACAACGGTGACAAGCTTAACTACCATGTAACCAAATATTTGTCAAAAGAGAAAAAGCACAAAGCTAGAGTGCACATTGTAAACATAGAGAATCTCAGTGAAAGTGAAGATAGTTTGCGGGGAACAGATGAAGTAGTAAACATACTGCTACAAAAATGAACAGGAGAACACAAATGGTCTACAGAAACATGTGGCAGGGGCTGAAATAATTCAATTTCACTTAGACTGTGGTTTCAGTTGCAATGCTATGCCCATCACCCAGGGAAACCTAATATTTCATTGAAAAGACTAATTAGTTTTTAAGAATAAACAACCACACTGTGACAAATTTACTGGGAGAATGCAACCTAAGATTTCTAACCCAAAGTCAAATAACAAATACAGGCCAGAGTTTTTGGTGGTAGAAATCAGAGAGCAGTATCACTGTTTGGCCAAGCTATGAAATTGTTGATGAGCATCAGTCCTGTTCTGAATATATTCAGAGCTGTAAAAATACAGCTCCAAACTATTGATACTGGAAAGCGGAGTAACAGAAAATTCTATTGAACCTGAACTCAAAAAAGATGTCAAGGGGAATTCTGAGATGTATTTGTGGGAGATGAAGAGATAGATTTTATGAAGTAGAGATTGATACAAATGTGAAGCCAGAAGAAATGAGGTAGCTTTTGTACAGCCTCTGAAAGAAGAGTTGCAAAGTCTAAAATTGTGGGGAATTTTTCAATGAACAAGGAAAAGTACATATGAGATAAACAATCTGGTGGTGATCTGAAAACCACCAGGGAGACTCATAATATGCACAGATCCTAGGCTTTAATATGAAGTAATTTTCCATAGCCTTTTATTGGAAATATATTGTCAGATCTGTCAAAAGCAAGACTGTTCTCCAGCCATGATGGCAAGAATTGATTCTGGCCTTTCAAATTGGATGAAGAATCCAGGAATTGGGCAAGTTTTGTTGCACTCTATGGGAGAAATCACTAAGAATGCTGATGAGCATCAGTCCTGCTCCAAAGATATTTCAAAGCAGGTTGACATACATTTTGGAGGGTCTGGAAGAAATAGCTGAAGTTGCATTGATATAGGGAGAAGGTGATGCCTGCAACTTGAAAAGCAGAAACATGACCATAAACGAATTGCATCCTTGAAAAGATGCAGAGAAACGAGTATAAAATTGCATATGCACATACTCTGACTGAGGGTCACAGAAGTATATTATAAAGAAGGGCAAGATAAATTTTAGTTATTTGATAAAATGTGTAAAGACGGCTAAATATTCTTGATGTCTAGCAGCGCATGTATATGTGATTGATATGGATCTGTTCCTGTGTCAGGAAGCAAAGAAATTATTTCATAAATGATGAATGAAGATTGTCAATATCCTACATAAAAATACAGTTTCCAATGTTTTGAGGGGAAAAAGGAACCTTATTGAATTTCAGTGGACATAGTCGTTTGGGAATAAATCTTAGAGAATTCGTATGGAAAAGAGCAGCTGGAACTCAAATATAGGGGCCAAGAATATATTAACATTGTATTTGCATATACACACGCACATGCTTTCTCTTTCTATGGGTGAAACCAGGAGAAATTAAATCTGCCAAAGCTTTGTTGAGGAGTCACTTGAATCCATGATTGATACTAATAGAAAGTAGCAGTGTGAACACACATAATACTAATTTAATTCACTATTTTCCAAATTTCTTCAAAGAGCAGTAAAATAGACCATAATAACGTTCCTCATAGACATAGAGAAAGAAAGGTGTGAGTACACGTAGCACAGCAATTGTATACAATGATTATACTATGGCCAATATCCATGCATAGCAGGGTCTCAGCAGTAACATTTGCTTAGTAGGTCAAAAGCAAAATAAGCTTTTCAAATTCTGTTAAGGCACAAAACAATTATTGTTTCATTGGCACTGTAGTATGACATACCTCTTTTTGATCTGATGATGCAGTTTGTGCCTTACAAATATTATACTATTTTAAACATACTACAGCTTATTTACAAACTTCCTCCACATCAAATGATTATTACTACACTACTTGAAATTTGTATGGATTTTTGAGGAGATGTGTTGCAAAAGTTAGGCATGGATCATTCACACTATATGTAAATATGACAAACACATTGGTAGTATCACCTGTGGATGCATTCATGCCCAAGTACAGTTCATGCTACTACAGAATACAAAGTAAAGCTAGGCCTCCCTTAATATTACATGCATTAGGCACTAGTTCATGTGTTCCCCATTCTATCCTTCCCCATTAGCACAGCCTTTCATTCACTGGAAGCATCAGATGCTGTAATCAGCCAACTACAGTTCATGATTTGGTCCAAGCTAGAACAAAATTTGTTTAGTTAAGCTAGGGCATTTGTCTAGCAAACACATATCGAACTATACTGAAGCTGACTTGTTTTGGCTAAACCATACTTTATGTAGTGCTTTACCAAACATTTCAGTTCTTCCATTTTCAGCAATTTGTAGGGAGTGGTGTTGAAATGCAACTATATATATATAGTTGCATAAAGAAATATATATATACACACACACACACACACACACACACACCTCCCCACTGGGGGAAGGTACAGGGGTTTTGTTTATCTTTTGAAGGAGCTGGCCAAAGGATTCTCTTTCGTTTACTGTAAAAATGCCCAAGGCACTTATAGCAGCACAAGACTCTTCACAGAGAGGTAGAGACAGATTCCTGAATGTCCTTAGAGTGCACAAGGTCATGTAGTCTCTTGTGAGATCAGCAAGAGCCCTGCAACAGGGTATTTTTAACATTAAAAAAATGTAAAGACCACTTGCCTAAGTTCTAGACTTAAACCACAGACAGAAAACTTGCACCTTTCCCTGTGAAAAATTATTCAAAATTTCCTTACTTGTATGAAAGAATCAGAAAAACCAAAATCAAAACCAATGTTACCCTCTTTCAAAAATGGAGCACATTCTGCACAGCATTAGTTAAACCAATCACATCTTTCCTTTCAGATGGTATATCACACTGTGGATAATTTAAAACAGAGAAGGATATTTCCAATGGCCTTTTCAGAACCATATTGGAAGACAAGAGGTGAAAGAGAAGCTGTCTCCATTGGTGTTAATATTTTAGCATTACATTGAAACAGAGGTTGAAGTGATACTTAAATATACAATTTAAATCACTGGGATTTAGATTTAATTCTCATTTATTTCAATGGGTTTGTCTGAAGTATGACTAAATCTGGATTCAATACCAGATCAGTGGTTCTTTTTTAATGCTTAGGACATGGTGCAACCAGGAGTAAGCTCATTTAGTTTTCATTGCTTAAAATGGGAGACTTCAGCATATGGCTTATTTCTTTAATACTGTTTTGCTTGCTAGTCACGTCCAACCCATCACGACCCCATGGACAACATTTTTCCAGGCTTTCCTGTTCTCCACCGTCTCCCGGAGTCTACTTAAGCTCACACCAACTGCTTCAGTGACTCCATCTAGCCACCTCATCCTCTGCCATCCCCTTCTACTTTTGCCATCTATTGTTCCCAGCGTTAGGTTCTTCTCCAGGGAGTCCTTCCTTCTCATTATTTGAGTTTCATCTTCAGTATCTGGCCTTCTAAAGAGCAGTCAGGGTTGATCTCCTCTAAGACTGACTGGTTTGATCTCCTTGCAGTCCAAGGGAATCACAGGAGTCTTCTCCAGCACCACAATTCAAAGGCCTCAATTCTTCAGTGTTCAGCCTTCCTTATGGTCCAGCTTTCACAGCCGTACATTGCAACTGGGAAAACCATAGCCTTGACTATACACACTTTTGTCGGCAGGATGATGTCTCTGCTTTTTAGTATGCTGTCTAGATTTGCCATTCCTCCCAAGGAGCAAGCATCTTTTAATTTTTTTGGCTGCAGTAACTGTCTGCACTGATCTTGGAGCCCAAGAAAATAAAATCTGTCAGATTTTCTCCAGTGGATCACCTTTTGTCAGAGCTCTCTGCTATGACCTGTCCATCTTGGGTGCCCCTGCATGGCATAGCTCATAGCTTCATTGTACTACACAAGACCCTTTGTCAAAGCAAAGCAGTGATCCATGAAGAAGAAGGTAAAGGTTTCCCCATCACATTAAATTCCAATCATTTCTGACTCTAGGGATGGTGCTCATCTCCATTTCCCTAGCTGAGGGAGCCAGCATTTGGCCAGAGACAGTTTCTGTGGTCATGTGGCCGGCCTGACTAAACACCAAAGTGCAAGGAACACTGTTTATCTTCTCACTGAAGTGGTACCTTTTTATCTACTTGTATTTGTATGCTTTTGAACTGCAAGGTTGGCAGGACCTGGGACAGAGCAACAGGAGTTAACGCCGTTTTGTGGATTCGAACTGTCGACCTTTCGATCAACCAGTCCAGCAGCTCAGCAGTTTACACCACTGCGCCACCTACAGCCCGCTTTAAAATATTTGAAGACTTATCACACATTATTTCAATATGGCTAATTGTTCTATTGATGAATATTCCGAACCTTGGTTATCTGGTTCTGAAAGAACACCCTGCTAATTAGTCTTCTAGAAGAAATTGTAACTCATACAGCTTCTATTATGGACTGGCATCTATGTGGATTGTAAATTCAGGCTTTCATTTTGCAAACTGATTCTTTCCTTGCTTTACCCTGCTTCTGATCCTGGTTCCTTGGCCCCTTCAGATTTTCTGCAATTAAATCTAAAGTTGCCAAAGTTTGTGCAAGCATACAGAGGGAATCAGCCACAAGTTTCTCTCCAAGTGGGTTGCTTCTCTCATAATATATCTGTCTGTCATAATACTGTGCAAAGTATTGCATAGTATTACTGTATTATAGTACTGACCTACCATGGATGAAAAAATAAATGGTATAGACAAAACAACCATGGTGGAATCCATATAACAAACAACAAATAAGAAAATGGAAGATAGACAAATTCATTGCTATGCAATTTCTGAGAATTCTTATTACCTAATTTAAATAAACTCAATTCTAGGATCAATTTCCAAGCAGTTTCACTTGATCTTTTTGATATGCAAAGTTATTGTAAATTTTAAATTAATAGGAAGCAGTTATAATAAATCTATTCCTTTTGCAAAAAAGAAAAAGCGTTTGCACTTT